GTAAAATAAAATAAAAATTTATAGAGATTATAAGATGCTTAAACCATTCTACTTAGTTTAGGAAAATTATAATAAAAATTTAATGAAATCATGTTAATTTTATAATTAGTAATAGAATATTTTAAATTTTTTTAGGATATTGAAACTTTCTTATAATAATAGAATTTAGAAGATGATGATCAAATAATGATGAAAAATTTGTTTTAGGCTAATTTTGAAGGGGAAAATGAATTAATAAAAGATTTTATCTAGAATTAAGACAAGTATACTTTTCAAGATTAGGAATATTCTTGGGAGTCTAAAGGGAGATAATTAGTTGAAGATCTATCTCAAATTTTATAAGACCTGTAGAATTTAGAATTTGTAGAATAAAAATAACCTATAATTTCATATAAATATCAAAAAGTAAAAGGGATAGAAGATTTAAAAGGGATAAATTGTAATATTCAAAAACTTAGATTAGTATTGTATTTATTTAAATATATTAATTAGATAAGAAAATAATTGGGAAGGGATAAGGAATATATTTCCAAAATTTGTTGGTTTAAATAGTTTATAAATTACTGCTATAAAATCACCTTTAAAAGCTTAAATTTTAGAAGAAATAATAATAGCAATATAATACTTACCTAGATTAGAAAAAGTTAAGATTAATTTAATAGGTTCAAATGCAAATGAATAAACATTAAGATTAATTCTAAAAATCATTTGTAATAAAAATTTGACAGAATTTGGAATTTCTTTTGGATATAGTTAAATTTTATCAGATGAATTTATAAGATAAATAAACTAATTTAAAGAATTACTAAAAGGAATTTCAAAAATATATATAAGTAATCAGCTACATGAATTTACAGAAAAGTAATAAAAGTTGCTTAAAACATACATAAGTTAAATTGAATTTATTATGTGAGGACTATATGTGTATTAATTATAAATTCAATCTTAAGGAATTTCTATTTAAAGGTTTTTTTTTTTAATTCCAACCACCTTTTTTCTTCCACTATCTATGGTTTGTTTTTTTTCTTCTTCATCTGGAGGAGATTTTTGAGAATGAGGAGAATGTTAGTTAATTATCTCTCTTTCAGATTTTTCATAATCAAGGAACATCTTACCAGTTTGTTTGTTTTATTCTGCCTGTTCTTATTAAAACATGCGATTAGTTTTTGTGAAAGAATTGGTTTAGCTTAAAATTTATGGTTAAGTATTAACATTATCTGTTCGACTTTCTTGTTTGCGATCACAAGAATTTACATATTATTGTAATTTATTAATTTCCTCTTCAAGTTTTTTGTTTCTATTTTATTATTTTTTACGAATATAGATGAATAGAGCAATACCCATGAAAACTAGAAATATAATAACAAACACAATTATGTAAATTTCTGAATTATCTGAGTCTTAATCCATTATTGAAATTTTATTATTTAACTATTAAAACATTATTAGTTTTGTATAAAATACAAAATAATCTAAATTCATTATGAATATAAATTATGTATAACTATAAATATGGAAATACTACAACACTCAACCTTATAATATAAATTTTAAATCTTATATATATTATTATTTTATCATTTAGAATTAACTTAATAATAATATAATAATTATTATTCTATATTTAAGAATGAAGTAGATGCTTCACTTATCAACATAAAATTTATAAGATAATAATAAAAATATATTTTTTTTTTAAATAATTAATATTTATTTATTATTGGAATTAAAATAATTCACTATTCTTAATCTTCATTAAGTTAATTCAAAAGAGACAAAATTTCAAATGCTAATGCCTTCTTTGATTAGAAATTTACTAAATACATTTGCTATCCTTCTTATCCTAAATCAGTATCATCAAAATCACCTATAAATATTTATATTTATGTATTACCATTGGTTGTATTAATAGCAGGATCAGTAAAATAATTGCCAACTCCTTAAACATCATTTATCATGTATTATCCTTTACTTATAAAGAATGTATAATATGAGAATGCTTGAGCAAATTTATTTAAATTTGTTATCTCCTCATTAATATAACCAAAATTATTGTTATACTTTACAAATTCACCTTTGAAAAATCTTTCTGCTATCCAATATTTGTCTAAAAATAAAAATATAATTTAATACTTTTGGTTTCTTCTAAAATTAAAAAGTCACTATAAACAACATTAGGATATTCATTTTTCTAGAAATTCTATTACTCTAATGCATCTGCAATATCATTTTTAAATTTTTTCATCAATTATTAGCATATTAAATGAGATCTACATTCTTGAATAGCCTCAAGTTATGATTGATATGGCTTGCTGCCAAGAGGAGTTTTTATTACATATAACTCTTCTGGTCCTCCATTTTTTTTTTTCATTAAAAAGACATCTTTCATCATTCCAAATGCAAATGGTAATTCAGTTCTGATACAAGACCATTTACCTTCTTCTTTTATTATATAATCCTTATTAGGTTGTTTTCCAATATTATTTATAGATTATAGATTATTATTAAATACCTAATCATTTATTGTTACATTTAAAACTGTAAATACAGTATCTACTACTTTAGTTTATTATTCAAAATTAAAAAAATCTCCTTATTTACATAAAGCCTCCATAGCACCATCTTTATTCTTTGGTCTTTCTTATTATTATTTTTTTGATTTAGTTCCTGATTATTTAACTTAAGTTGCATTAACAGAAGCACTTCCTAAGGATGATGCCATTTTCTCTGCCAACTAATGAACTTTAAGACCTGCAACATCAACAAGTAAAAAAAAATCTTAAGCATTCTTAGCTTCATAAACCTTTTTAAATTCCTCGTACATTTTAGTAGTCTTATCGTTTAAATTAAAACCTATTAAGATGATTTGTTATTCTATCAAACGATGAAGAGTTTGTGTGATGTCGTCATCAGAGTGAAAATCAACAGGAAATGAATGATATTTTTTGCCATGACAAGGAGAATCAGTTATCAATATTGCTATCTTAAATTTACTCTTCCATTTGAGATTTTTCATCATTTATTCTAAAGCTCCTCTAACATCTTCTGGAGGATCTCGTCCTCCTTCAAATTTAATATCTAGCATAAATTGTTAAAAATTTTAGACATTGTTGGAGAAGTCAAATTGAAAATATGATCCAGTTTTAGGTTTCTATTCAATATCATAATAGGCAATAGATGAAATATTTGTATCTCTATTAGTCTATTATTTGATAATTTTTAAGGATTCTTAAACACAGCATCTTGCCTGCTCAACATATGGTTACATAGACCTAAATAATCATTAATAAATTTATACAGTGTAAAATCAACAACATAACAAATATCTAATTTTCCACATTCTTCTAAAGAACCTTATGTTTTCTTCATCATAATTTCTTTGATCTTCTTGTTCTCTTATTTTCTGTTCTCTAATCTTTATTGCTCTTACATAGCTTTTTTTATTTTATTTTCCTAATATTCTTATTCTTTCAATAATTCAGCTTTTTTTTATTCTTCTTCATATTTTTACTAATTTTATAACATTTCATTTTTTAATTTACTAATCTCATCTTCAAATTTTGATTTATTTTGATTGTTTGATTTGTTTTTTTATAGTTCTTCTATATAATTTTTATAAGTTTTTTCAATAGATTTAAACTGGTTTTATTATGCAATTTTAGATTCTTCTTCACCTTTCAACTTATTAACAAGTTAAGAATTTTCAAATTTTGAATCTCTTAATTGTTTTGTTAGATTATCAATAGTTGAATCTTTTTCTTCCTATTATTTATTTTGAAAATTAAATTTTCTTTACCAATTAGCTATTTCGCCTTATGCATTCAGAAAATATTTATGTTCTTTCTCTACTTAAATTTGTAAATCTTAACTTTGTTTTTCCAATTAAATTATTTTTTCATCTTTTTATTTTAACTCATCCTCAATACTATTTTTCTAATTATTTAATAATTTATATTTGTTTTTTTCCTCTTATAATAAAGCTTATTGCTGATTACAAAATTGTTACATCTATTTCTCATAATCTGGTGTTGTATTCTTTGTATTTTAAGTCATAAATTATATTTTCTAGTTATTCGAATTCAACTTATCTATTTCAGTCTCCTTCTCACGCAATTAATCTTATAGTTTTGTGCATTATTTTTCAAGTTAGCTTATTTTGAAATTTGTTTAAAATTAGTCAGTTTTATAATTCAATATAGCTTCATCTTTTTTCTTTTCATCTTCTTCTAATTATTTCACTTTATCTCTCTCATATTAAAGTTGTGTCTAATAATTTTTAATTTCTTTAGTTTTCTTATTTTCGAGATCATCTTTTTCATTTTCTAAATACTAAATTTTTGTTTCTAAATCTCTAATTTAAGAGGTTAATTATCTTAATCTTTCATTATTATTATTGGGTTGTTGTTGAATATAGAAATTTGGAGGATAAACTTAATTTGGAGCATAAGCATAAACTTGATTTTAAGGAAATTGTTAGGTTTGTTGTTAATGATTTTAGTTATTTTGAATTTTTTGGGGAACCTAATTAATTTGATTTTGAATCCCATTTTGCAATTATACTTATTAAACCTATTAATGGTATTATTATTATTATGCTAACAATTATTGTTAATATAATTGAAGATAATAAGCCTAGAGTTGTTCTGGAGTATAAACTAATAAAATAGTTAAAAAAAATTACTTGATTATAAATAAGCCAGTTGTTCTGGAGTTAAACCTAATAAAATAGTTAAGAAAAATTACTTTATTAATAATAAGCCTAGATTTGTTCTGGAGTATAATCTAATAAAATAATTAAGAAAAAATTACTTTATTAATTTATGTCTTTTTACTGATTAGCATATTGCTAATTTTCAAAGCCTTGCTGGTTAAAGTTTTACATTTGATAATTTAATATTTAAAAATGAACACAAAATAAAGCATATAAAAAATGTAATAATAGAATTAGGCAATTAATTTATTAATATAAATTATATACATTATATAAATAATATATAATTATGCTTAATTTATATTTGCAAATACCTGATTCAAATATAGGCTAATATTCTATTAGGTTTCCATAAAGTAAGCAAATTTCAGATCTTATTGAATGGATCTATGATAATTTTAATCAGTATATATGATATAAGCTAAATTAGATTTTTTAAATTGTAGAATAAAAATAAAATCAATATATACAATAATGGAAATGGATAAAATTATCGTTGTTCAAATTAATTGTTAAGTTCCTGTCTTAAAAATAATGATATTTTAATATTAGGTGAAATTTAATAAGAAAAAGAACTCCATTTTTTTTTAGAATATCAATCATTAATTACAGAAATTAAAATTGAAGATGATATTACAATTCAAGAATTAATGGAGTTTGCTTATTGTACTTTCGATATTTCTAATGATATTAAATTAGATTTTATGTATGAAAACATTAACTTATCAAATTAAAATATCAAAAAGAAATTAGCAGAATTTAATATTTAAAATAATGGTAAGATTTAAATTGTACCCCATAAAATTATTGACAATAATTTAATAAATATTTAGATATTGTTCAGAGATATTGGCAGTAGTATTAAATAATAATTTTAAAAATGTGATATTTTAGCTAAAATTGTTCAAGCAGCAATACAGTATTTATAATTAGATCAGTAAATTAAATATATTATAAAGGAATACGGCGGCATTGAGTGTTATTTATAAAGGCCGTTATTATAATGACTATAAGATTACTTTATCGGAGATGAAATTAATGGAAGATGATATAATTGAAATTAAGATCTCTTATTGTGGAGGATAATCGTATTGTTGAATAAAAGATTGAATAATAATTAGGATATAATATATATAATCCATATTTTCTTCTATTAATAAACATTTAAATAATCAAAATGAAGTAGAATTTTTTTTAATATATCTAATTAAAATCTCAATGAGTTTTATATATATAATTTTTTTATTATTATCAAAAAAGGAATACATTTAATCATTTTATATGTTTTATTACAAACTTTTTATATTACTTAAATTAAATTCTTATTTATAATTTCTTAAAAAATATACTAAAGAAATAGAAAATATATTTTAAGAGATTCAAAATAAATTATATTAATTTCATGATTCATTCCATTATGATGTTGCTCATTTAATTAAATTATTTTAAATTTATACTTCAACTTCTAGAATCTTATGAAATAATAAAATATTTATTGTGCAAATAACCTTTAATATATTAAATAAAATGAATTCTTAAGGATAGGGATTTAAGTTGTACAGTTCTAATCAGAATAATGAAATAATAAATAAACGAAGAAAACTTAGTATTGGAAGTGAAGGTAGTGATTCAACTGGTGAAAAATTAAATGAAAGCTTCAATAGATTAACTTTAAGTGCTGGAAATCCATAAAGCTCTTTCCAACCTTTTGTTAAGATTCCTATTACTTAAGTTCGACCTCCAGAAAGACCTTTAACTCAACCTTCTTTAATGATGGGAATTTAAAAATATCTGAAATTAGGAGAAGATTTGGAGGCTGAAGATCTCTTAACAAAACCTTATAATGATCTTTAATAAATCTAGAATCTTCAATAATTACCTCAGTAGAGACTACATTTTATACCATTTGGAATGCCTTCAAATTATGAAAAATTAATGTCGGAGGCAAAGAATGTTTTAAAAGGTGAAATAAAAGTTGAAGAAGAAAGATAAAAAAGAAATATAGATGATTTTTTGATTGAATAAAAACTATTGAATCCAGGTTAAAAATTAAGTAAAGAAGAAAGGGCAGCTAAGGTGAAAGCATATTTAGAAAAAAAGCATAATCGATTATGGAAATAAGTGAGGTACTTTATTGATTTAATAATCCACAGATACCCAGTTAGAAAAAACCTTGCTGAATTTAGAGAGAGAGTATAAGGAAGATTTACAAAATCTGATAAACCAAGATTCAATTAAAGTCTAATACTATTAGATAAAGAAGAAAGAAAAATGGAAACATTAACTAATTCATATGCTTGATCTATTATTATTTAATCTATATGAAAATTTATTTAAGATTTCATATATAACTAAGTTTGTTACTTAATTATCTACCTTTAAATTTGTTAATAATATATATAGTTAAAATATAATCTTAAATATAATAAATAAATAAATAAGTTATTTTAAACATAAATAAACTTAAAAAGTATTAAAATTTCTTAGAAATATTATTCCATGTAATTTCCAAATTAAGAATTCTTCTATTATGATTATAATTTATTTAGATTCTAATCATAAATAAAATAATCATGTTAATATTTATAGACAAAAAGAGATATTAATATAAATTGTTTACTATGAATGTAAATTTAAGAAATAAAATTGAAAGATTTAGATAGAAAAGCATATCCATTCAAAATCTATTAAATTTTTTAAGCTATATGAATAAATCATAAATTTAATTAGTGTGAAGCTTATTATTCAGTATTTTATTTTGATGGATTTTAATGAAAATTGATTGATTATTAATATTAATGCAATCATTAAATGATGGAGAGTCTCACTCTACAACTTTAGAGCCATCAAAGTAACTTATATTAATAAGTAGATCATTCAAATCTAGAGCCATCTTTGATACAATGGAAGTTTCAACTAAATAATTCTATATGTTTGATAATGACACAGGGGAAATAATTGACCTAAGAACTTCTTAAATCGTTGAATATGATTAAATTTAATTCTAAAAAGAAAATGCTTGGCAGGATTTTTGGAAAGAATCTCAATTGAAAACTTTGGAGCTTATTAAAGCTTGCAAATTAGGTTAGTTTTCAATTGTAGAATCAATAATATAATCTTCAAACTTCATTGATATAAATGCTAAAGATTCAAATGATTAGACATGTTTACACTTTGCATGTAGTTCTGGTAACTTTTAAATAGCTTATCATCTAATATAAAAAGGAAGTTATGTGAATGAATAAGATTGTGATGGATATACTCCTTTGATGGTCAGTGTAAAAAACAATCACTTAGATTTAGTTAATTTGCTCTTATATAACAAAGCAAATGTTGACCGATAAGATTTTTAAATGAACACACCTCTACATATAGCTTTGGACAATAATTGTTTAGAAATTATTAAACTCTTGTTAAAATATAAAGCTGATCCCTATATATAAAATGCAGATAATATAAATGCACTTTAACTAATATCAAATACAGAATAACAATAAATATTTAAATAATTTGGATATGAAAAATAATATGTAACAGAGAAAATGGTATCAAGTAATAAAGAAACTAAGGAATCAAATTCATCTCATCGTTCAAGTATTAGTAGAATAATGAAGTTTTTGGGTTAATCGGTTCCAACAAATTCCTTATAGAAGTAAACTTATTAAGCAAGATAATCTGTTGTACCAATAGGAGGTCAAAATATTGGACCAGATTCTTTTACATACCATAAAGAATTAGGAAAAGGTTCTTTCGGTATTGTTTATTTAGTTAAAAAAAAAGATGAATTGAATAGTTTATATGCAATGAAAGTATTAAGAAAAGAGAAAATAAGTTAAAAATTATTACCTTATATTTAAACTGAGAAATCAATCTTATCAGTAATAGATCATCCTTTTATTGTTAAATTACATTTTGCTTTCTAAACACAATACAAATTATTTTTAGTTATGGATTTTTGTCCTGGAGGAGATTTAACTAAACTTTTAGATTTAAAATCTAAATTACCAGAACATGTTGCTAAAATGTATACTGCTGAAATCATCTTAGCTATTGAAGCTCTTCATTAAAATAAAATTATGTATAGAGATCTAAAACCTTAAAACATTATTATAGATAATAAAGGTCATTGTATGTTAACTGATTTTGGTTTAGCTAAAACTGATATTGAAAATGAAGATACAAAATCTTTTTGTGGAACTCCTGCTTATATGGCACCAGAAGTTGTCAATAAAAAATTATACAATCGTTCTGTTGATTGGTATTAATTAGGTACTATAACACATGAAATGCTTTTTGGTATGCCTCCCTATTATAGTCATAATAGAGAAGAATTGTTTGAAAATATCAAAAATAAATAACTTAAATTCCCTTAAAATAATTTATCAAAGGAAGCTCTTTCATTCATTTAATAAGTAATATCATATCTATTTCAGTTATTAGAGAGAAATCCTTCTAAAAGATTAGGTGCAAAAAAAGATTCTGAAGAAGTTAAGGCTCATCCTTGGTTCTAAGGAATTAATTGGGATGATGCAATGAATAAAAAATTACCTGTTCCTACTCCTAGCATTATGAATCAAGCCAATCAGACACTACAAGTTAATTTTGATGAGGATTCACAAATTCAATAGAGAAAAACTATAGATAATTGGACTTTTATTTCTGATTGATTATATATATAAATTAAACTATGGAATATGAAATTATGCTGCTATGCAACACTTTAGGAATAGGAATTGTTGTGATGATAATCCTCTATCATTTAGTTGGTACCAAAGCAGATAAGAAAACATATTGATTAATATTCATATTTCGTGTCCAAGCCTTACCTTATGATGTCCCTTTGTAAATATAAATTATGAACTTTGATTTCGTTATTCTAACTTCTTTTATGATTAATTCAATAAATTGTTGATTGAATCTAATGTCCCTAAACTACCATCATGTCTCATTTAATCACCCCATAAAAAAGAAGCAGTTTCTAATGCTTTGTGCAATTTATGTTACAATACTAATAAATATGAATCCAACAAATATACAATTTTTATTAATAGGGTCTATCCTTTCCATTCTTGCTTAGTATTTTTTTACATCATCAATTTGAGAAAACTGATTTTATATTATGTAACAATACCATTCCTTAAATGTCTAACTTTTTCTAATTTCCTGATGGGAAATATTCAAATTTATTTAATTTGCTTAGAAAATCCTGTTTTTTACTTTGATTTTTTTCTGCATGTTGTTTTTACATTTAATAAAATGGGGTTTATTCAATTCCAATTCCTGGAAATCTCACATACTAATTCTTTAAGAATAATAGTTACTTCTTTGTTTTTTCCAGATTCATTTATTTTATCCCAAACTTCCTTTGTTCCATAAGCTTTAAATGGATTAATTTATTCCTTTTAATTCATTTATAATATGTTATTTGATACTAAATAAATTCTTCAGACTAATTTATAGTTATAATAATTCTAAAAATATTGAACATACTTTAAAGATAATATAATAAGATATCATAATATTTTATTATTTTAAATATTATACAAATTGGCAAATAATATTAATTTATTTTTCTATGTATCTCTTTAAGAATTTTACTTACATTTGATCAATTATTTAATTAATTAAGAAATCAGCATATATAATCTAGAGTACTTAAAAATTTAAGAATCTTTTTTCTTAGTTGGTTAGGAAATAAAAATAAAGGGAAAACTTGAAAAATTTTCTAAGATAATCTATATCCCAAAATAAATTCATTTAAAATGTAAATAAGTAAGAATTAATATCTCAAGATTTAAGATTATTTAATTAAAATATAAACTTATTCATGTTTCATTTATATAGATTGTAAAGATTAAATACTTTGAGTAAAATATAAAATAAGCTTCTAATAACTCTTCAAAAATTCTTATATAATGTCAATTGTAACGATGATAGAATGCTTAGGCTTTAATAATTGATAGAAATCCATTATAATTAGATCCTCCTCTATTGTATATTCTAATTTTATCTACTAATTGGTCTTTAAATCTAATTTTAATGACTCCTGCAAATGATGCATTTTCATAAATCTTTTTTTCCTATTCTAAGAATGAAATATATATTTCAAAATCATAATGTACATCAACTAAACGATCCCAAATTTCAACAACTACAGTGTTGAGTTCATAATTTTTAAATAATGTTATTTCAATAGAATTATGAAGAGAACAATATGTATAGCCAATTGCACTATTCACATAATAAATAGCATCTCGATTTAATTAAGAGTTCATCTGGCCACCATTAAAATAAGTATTGTATCTACTAATTAAATTAATTTATTGAAAGTTAAGCACATCTTTATAGTTTCCTCTTAGAATTCTTGTTTTTTTTTGAATTTAATTTAAAGTACAGCAATTAGCAATAGTAAGAATTAATAATAAAACTTTAAAAATCATTTTAAAAAATATTATATAAGTATAAGTGGAATATAATAAGGGTTGAACAATTATACTTTAAAATTCTATGGAATAAAGAAGAGAGGAAAAAATGTATCTTTATATTTTATAATCAAACCCATCTATTTCTAACAGCATCATAATTTAAATGTGATTTTCCTCCTTTTAATTAATTGGGTCTTCTAGGTAATGCAAGGATAGGACAGTAATTTTCATCTCTTTATTTTTCTGTATAATCCATTTAATAAGTTGAATTTCCAATTTGTCCTGGGTCTCCATTAATATTACGTTAAATTGGATCTCTACATCTTTCTTATTTGCTTATTGGTTTTGGAACATATGATGTCTTATAAGTTGTAGATCCAAAATCAACATTGACATTTGGACCATCTTTTACTTATGGTTTGAATTATTCAGATCCACCGACAGGTTTTTAGATAAAATCTACACCATATGTTGTATTCCATGGTACTTGTCTAGGAGCTGACTTATATGGTTGTTTTATTATAGAACGTTTCATTGGTAATGGAAATCTATTTAGTAACTGATATACTTCTAATAATTAGTTTAGTAGTCTGATAAACTATTAAAAGGTTAAGAAGGTTGTAATTCAGGTAATTACCTTGCTTCTCTTTCAGGTAAAGGTCTCTATATGTATTCACTTTAATATTAACTCATTAAAGTAGATGGATCATATGAATGTTATTATGGTTATCTATCATAATTGAATGGCTTTTATTTGTTTGATTTCCAAGGTTAATAGTCATGTCTATAATTAATTTATTATATTTTACTAGAATGTTGATTAAAAATCACCATGCATATTATCAGTGTGAATTGGACAATGATGTTTTCCACATTTACATATTTCACATACACATCTATTGTGAAACTGATTTGAGGATTGTGCTGTCTTAGAAGAATGAAATAGGGATTTGATTGTATTATTAATCATTAAATAATCATTGCTATTACTTCTATTCTTTTATTATATTACGCAATTCTTCAGATTGTTTTTTCCAATTTGGATCAAGTGGAGCTTTTCCCTATTTCTTTTATAATTATTTCTCCTTTATTTAACCTTGTCTTTATAATTTTTATTAATCATTTGACACTATTCTTGCTTATTTAGAATTGAATTCTTATCTTTTCTATTGAAATACCTATTTACACACTTTAGTATGTTTTTCTAAAACATCTTATTTAAATTGTCTTCCACAACCCTCAGGACAAAGAACTAATTCAAGATCTTCAATTGGTTCTGCTTCCTCTAATTGTATTACCATATTCAATACCAAGTTGTTATTGCACTTTGGCTTGATCTGCAATTGCAATTTTATTTTCAATTGGATTTTTTGAACCTAATAATGCTGCTTCTCTTTTATTCTAATTACCTATTGATGGCATATAGGAATCTTATTAATTTTGTTTAACCTATTAAACTTCCTTTTTTTCTTATGTTTATTACATTTCTCTCTTTTCAACTTAAATTTATTTCCTAAATAGCTCCTCTTAACCAGGTAAATAAAGTCCTTAATTAATAGGGGCTGTATTTTTCTTTTCGTCTGATCGTTAGATTCTATCTTTAAGAGGTACCTTCTCTTAAAATGAACCTGTTTTAAAGAAATCTTCTTTAGTGCTTGTTAACTAAGGTTCTTATTCTTATGGTTGAGTGGAACGGTTGCGAATATTGAAGGTTGGTTTGCTGGCAAAATTGGGTTTTGAATTAATAGTAGAAAAATCTGACTTTTAAGTGCTTTCTAAGGATAAAGTTTATTCTTATTTTTTAAATGACCCAGAGGTACTATCCATCTTCAAATTCGGCTTATAATTCATTTATTTTAATTTTTATTATATTTTTATAATACTTTTTAACAATTATGTTTATTTTAATAAATAATTTAAGCTAAATTTGTAAATAAACTCACTTTGATATACAAACATTATTAATATATTAAGAAATAAAAAATTGTATTATCCTATATGAATTTAAATTAATTATAAGTAATCTTTGAAGATAAATTGAAATGTATACAATTTATTATAAATTAAAGACTATTGAATAAATAATCATGAATACAATAAATTTGAATTGAATATTAAAGGAAGATAGTAAATAAGAATAAAAATACTATTATGTATTGGTAAAATTAAATAAATATATTATGATTTTAGATGTTACATAGAGAACTGAGCCATATACAACTAATTTTCGAGTATCAAAAGAGTAACTGTGTTAAGTGGCTTATGCATGTTAAGAAAGGACATTCACAGAAGAGATAGATCAATTAGAAGAATTAGGAGGACAAGAATTTTTAGAGGTTTTAGAAAGTTTTAACTTTAGATGGCTTTATGCTCTAATTATAAGAATGGATTATTATTAAATGATGTAAGTTTGAGGGAACAGAATTTTGGACATAATCGTAAACCACTAATTCTTCCAAAATCTTATTGTTAATTATTATGGGGTGCTTTGGAAGATTTTACTATGAGGATACTCTGTTTAGCTGCACTAGTGAGTATTGCAGTTGATGTGGCTACTGCATCATCAGATTATCGTGCTTATGCATGGATAGAGGGTAAAACTATTGAAATGTAAGAGTGCTAGGTTTTGCAATTCTAGTGGCAGTTATAATATCAACAAATGCTAATGCAATTAATGATTATTAAAAGGAGAAATAGTTTCAAAAGTTAAATGCAGTAGCAGATGAACGAAAAAGAGTTACAGTAATAAGAAATGGATAGAAATGTGATATTCATATGAGTGAAGTAATGGTTGGAGATATTGTAATGATATTTGAAGGAATGGAAATACCAGCTGATGGTCTAGTACTTGAAGCCTCAGATCTAACAGCTGATGAATCAGCAATGACAGGAGAAACTGATCCTATAAAAAAGAATACATTAGCATATTGTTTAGCTAAAAGAAATCAAACTGATTCAGCTACAGCTGGACATCATGAAGTTCCATCTCCTATTATGATGAGTGGTACAAGAGTTTTAACAGGAGAAGGTAAAATGATTATTTTAGTGGTTGGAGATTTATCATGTGCAGGTAAAATTAGTGCTTTACTTCGTTAAGATGAACCAGAAGGTAATTTTAATTTATTACTATATTAGCTACTCCTTTATAAGTCAAATTAGCTGCTATTGCTGAAGATATAGGTAGATTTGGATTGTATAGTGCAATCTTAATAGTTATTGTTATGTGTATAAGATTTGCAGTTGAAAAGGCATAAATTGAATGGGAAAACAAATATATTGTAGAGATAGTCAATTTCTTTATTATTGGAATTACAGTTATTGTAGTAGCCATTCCTGAAGGATTACCTTTGGCAGTAACTCTCTCTTTAGCATATTCAACTAAATAGATGTTGAGAGATTAAAATTTAGTAAGGAAAATGGCAGCATGTGAAACTATGGGAGGAGCATCTATGATATGTTCTGATAAAACTGGTACTTTAACTCAAAATAAGATGACTCTTGTTAATATTTGGAATGAAAATATTATTGAATTGGAAGCTTATTAAACTTGCAATTTGAATGATTATCTACCTTAATAATTAGCAGATATTTTTATATAATCAGCTATTGTAAATTCAAGTGCAATGCTTAGACCAGAACCTAAAGGATCTAAGACTGAAATCTCATTTCTTGAATTTATGGATAGATGTTAAAAGCCTTATGAAGAATATAGAGAAAAATATCCAATTATAGTTAAGTATCCATTTAGTAGTTAAAGAAAGAGAATGTCAATGATTTTAGATGTTGGTGGATAGTAAAGATTAGTATGCAAAGGAGCTTCAGAAATGGTATTAGCAGCATGTACCTAATTTCATTCAAAATAAAATGGAGTCATAACAATTAATTCTAAGGTTGTTGAAGATGCAATTGAAAGTATGGCAAAGAAAGCATTAAGAACAATATGTTTGGCATATAAGAATATCCCTAATAATGCTGATTTGACTAGTAAAGATGATAAAGGTGTTTATAATATAGAATAAAATGACTTGGTTTTATTAGCAGTCTTAGGCATTAAAGATATTATTAGATAAGAAGTACCTAGAGCTATTTAATTATGTAAGTAAGCTGGAATCAAAGTCAGAATGGTAACCGGTGATAATATAACTACAGCAAAGGCTATTGCAATTGAATGTGGAATCATTACTAATCCTGAGGATAGTATAGTAATGGAAGGACCAGAATTTGTTAGAAGAATTGGAGGTGTTGTTTGTAAGAATTGTCATCCAGAAAATTGTAATTGTGTTAGGGATAGTTAGACAGCTTAAAGAGAAGGCAAAAAATTAAGAATTGACACTATTGCTAATCCTGAAGAGTTTGATAAAATATATCCAAATCTAGATGTTTTAGCTCGTAGTAGACCAGAGGATAAATATGCCTTAGTAACTGGTTTAATTGAAAGAAATCATGTTGTTGCTGTAACAGGAGATGGAACTAATGATGCTCCTGCTCTAAAAAAAGCAGATGTTGGATTTGCTATGGGAGTTTCAGGAACTGAAGTAGCTAGAGAGGCTGCAGCTATAATTTTATTAGATGACAATTTCAATTCAATAGTTAAGGCTGTTATGTGGGGGAGAAATGTGTATGATAACATAAAGAAGTTTCTTAGATTTTAATTAACTGCTAATTTAGTAAGTGTATCATTGACATTAATTGGGGCTGCAGTATTAAGATAAGAAATACTAAAACCAATTTAATTGTTATGGGTTAATTTAATAATGGATACTTTAGGTTCTTTGGCTTTGGCAACAGAACCTCCATCTGAGAAACTGTTAAATCGTAAACCTCATGATAGAAATGAATACATTATTTCAAAAAAAATGTTTAAGTTTATAGTAGGAACTGCTCTAATTTAAGTAGGTGTTGTACTTGTCATAGTTTTTTTAGGTGATAAATTTCTACCTGAATATAAAGATGCATATGATACAAGTGTATTTAGTGGTCCAAAAATAAGATTTAAATACAGTAATCATAATTGTGTTACTGATTTTGAATCATTAAAATCATTAGGATTAACTAAACTAAATTATACATAATCTACTGATAATCCAGATGATTCTGATAAATGTTTAAAAACTTAATGTGTCTGTTAAAATGAAGAATGTTATGAAATTTAATGTCCTCCTTGTCTTTATAATTAAGATTCATGTTCAATTGTTGCTAGTGGAAGATTAATGACAGTTTAAGGAGATTAAGATTATTACATTATGTACAATATTGAACATGAAGGAAGTAGACATGTAATTAATATTATTTAATATATTTAGTTTACTTATGTATTTAATGTATTTATCATGTTATAATTGTTTAATTTCTTAAATAGTAGAAGGATTACTGATGAAATTAATTTCCTTGACAATATTACAAATCATTCTGCTTTCCTAATAATAGTTCCTTTCATATTCTGCATTTAAGTATTAATGGTTACTTTTGGATCTGGTGCTATTGGACTTTATAGTTGTTATGGATTATAAATAAAATAATGGTTGATTGGAATTGGATTTGGTAGTATCTCATTATTAGGATGTCTAATCCTTANGTTGTTTGTAAGAATTGTCATCCAGAAAATTGTAATTGTGTTAGGGATAGTTAGACAGCTTAAAGAGAAGGCAAAAAATTAAGAATTGACACTATTGCTAATCCTGAAGAGTTTGATAAAATATATCCAAATCTAGATGTTTTAGCTCGTAGTAGACCAGAGGATAAATATGCCTTAGTAACTGGTTTAATTGAAAGAAATCATGTTGTTGCTGTAACAGGAGATGGAACTAATGATGCTCCTGCTCTAAAAAAAGCAGATGTTGGATTTGCTATGGGAGTTTCAGGAACTGAAGTAGCTAGAGAGGCTGCAGCTATAATTTTATTAGATGACAATTTCAATTCAATAGTTAAGGCTGTTATGTGGGGGAGAAATGTGTATGATAACATAAAGAAGTTTCTTAGATTTTAATTAACTGCTAATTTAGTAAGTGTATCATTGACATTAATTGGGGCTGCAGTATTAAGATAAGAAATACTAAAACCAATTTAATTGTTATGGGTTAATTTAATTATGGATACTTTAGGTTCTTTGGCTTTGGCAACAGAACCTCCATCTGAGAAACTGTTAAATCGTAAACCTCATGATAGAAATGAATACATTATTTCAAAAAAAATGTTTAAGTTTATAGTAGGAACTGCTCTAATTTAAGTAGGTGTTGTACTTGTCATAGTTTTTTTAGGTGATAAATTTCTACCTGAATATAAAGATGCATATGATACAAGTGTATTTAGTGGTCCAAAAATAAGATTTAAATACAGTAATCATAATTGTGTTACTGATTTTGAATCATTAAAATCATTAGGATTAACTAAACTAAATTATACATCATCTACTGATAATCCAGATGATTCTGATAAATGTTTAAAAACTTAATGTGTCTGTTAAAATGATGAATGTTATGAAATTTAATGTCCTCCTTGTCTTTATAATGAAGATTCATGTTCAATTGTTGCTAGTGGAAGATTAATGACAGTTTAAGGAGATTAAGATTATTACATTATGTACAATATTGAACATGAAGGAAGTAGACATGTAATTAATATTATTTAATATATTTAGTTTACTTATGTATTTAATGTATTTATCATGTTATAATTGTTTAATTTCTTAAATAGTAGAAGGATTACTGATGAAATTAATTTCCTTGACAATATTACAAATCATTCTGCTTTCCTAATAATAGTTCCTTTCATATTCTGCATTTAAGTATTAATGGTTACTTTTGGATCTGGTGCTATTGGACTTTATAGTTGTTATGGATTATAAATAAAATAATGGTTGATTGGAATTGGTTTTGGTAGTATCTCATTATTAGGATGTCTAATCCTTAAATTAATTCCAGAAGATAATTTTTGTAAATAGCTTTAACCCCAAAAGATTGTACCTATCTAACAAGAAGTCAAAATCTCTTAATAAAAAGTTGAATAAAGTGAAAATGCTCTTGCAAAACATTATAATTCTATATCAAGACATCCAGATCAATGAATATAAATTATTTTAATTAATGAATCTACTCAAAAAAGCAACTACTGTTATATGTTCTGTTCAAGAACATTAAGAAGTTGATTAAAAGATTATCCATCTATGTATTGACTCTAAGTGTTAGATTTCTAAAAAAGCATTATGTGGTTTATGTCTAGGAGAAGAACATTATGGTCATAAATCAATTAATCTCTCTACATTAGACACTTTAATAAAGAATGAATGGACTCGTGAAATAAAACAATACAATTAAAAGAATAAAGATTTGACAGATTCTATTCAGATGAGTATAAATGCAATTCTGAACAAAGTTAAACTACTTTAAGATTAAATATCATAATTTGTTAATTAGGATATGTAGGAGAGTAAAGTAGGGATTTTAAAACGTAAATATATTGATTAGCCAAATCTAACTGAAAAAGATTATGAATAATTAGCAAAAGAAATTTGTGATATTATACATTATAATAATGGTGTTCCAGATTTTAAACCAATTGATTATGAACCAAATGATAAATTCTAGAGTCTTGCATAAAAGTTAATTTTNAAGTAGGTGTTGTACTTGTCATAGTTTTTTTAGGTGATAAATTTCTACCTGAATATAAAGATGCATATGATACAAGTGTATTTAGTGGTCCAAAAATAAGATTTAAATACAGTAATCATAATTGTGTTACTGATTTTGAATCATTAAAATCATTAGGATTAACTAAACTAAATTATACATAATCTACTGATAATCCAGATGATTCTGATAAATGTTTAAAAACTTAATGTGTCTGTTAAAATGAAGAATGTTATGAAATTTAATGTCCTCCTTGTCTTTATAATGAAGATTCATGTTCAATTGTTGCTAGTGGAAGATTAATGACAGTTTAAGGAGATTAAGATTATTACATTATGTACAATATTGAACATGAAGGAAGTAGACATGTAATTAATATTATTTAATATATTTAGTTTACTTATGTATTTAATGTATTTATCATGTTATAATTGTTTAATTTCTTAAATAGTAGAAGGATTACTGATGAAATTAATTTCCTTGACAATATTACAAATCATTCTGCTTTCCTAATAATAGTTCCTTTCATATTCTGCATTTAAGTATTAATGGTTACTTTTGGATCTGGTGCTATTGGACTTTATAGTTGTTATGGATTATAAATAAAATAATGGTTGATTGGAATTGGATTTGGTAGTATCTCATTATTAGGATGTCTAATCCTTAAATTAATTCCAGAAGATAATTTTTGTAAATAGCTTGGACCCCAAAAGATTGTACCTATCTAACAAGAAGTCAAAATCTCTTAATAAAAAGTTGAATAAAGTGAAAATGCTCTTGCAAAACATTATAATTCTATATCAAGACATCCAGATCAATGAATATAAATTATTTTAATTAATGAATCTACTCAAAAAAGCAACTACTGTTATATGTTCTGTTCAAGAACATTAAGAAGTTGATTAAAAGATTATCCATCTATGTATTGACTCTAAGTGTTAGATTTCTAAAAAAGCATTATGTGGTTTATGTCTAGGAGAAGAACATTATGGTCATAAATCAATTAATCTCTCTACATTAGACACTTTAATAAAGAATGAATGGACTCGTGAAATAAAACAATACAATTAAAAGAATAAAGATTTGACAGATTCTATTCAGATGAGTATAAATGCAATTCTGAACAAAGTTAAACTACTTTAAGATTAAATATCATAATTTGTTAATTAGGATATGTAGGAGAGTAAAGTAGGGATTTTAAAACGTAAATATATTGATTAGCCAAATCTAACTGAAAAAGATTATGAATAATTAGCAAAAGAAATTTGTGATATTATACATTATAATAATGGTGTTCCAGATTTTAAACCAATTGATTATGAACCAAATGATAAATTCTAGAGTCTTGCATAAAAGTTAATTTTTGATGCAACACTCTTTTGTAAAGATATTTCTCTTATTACCAAATCTAATATTGTTCACTAAAGTTTTGCTGAACAAATACAAGATTTATTATATTAGATTAATAGTATAACAAATCTAATTGAAAAACCCTTAATATATTTGATGTAAAGTCGTCGAATCTTTCCTAATGATAAAAGTGAAACATAATCAATGCAAAGAATCGATTTTGATTAATAGAGTGTATTTGGTACAATAACTTAATCACCCTTTTGCATTTAGAAATAAGTCAAATTCAAGACTTTAGAAATGAAAGGGTTTATTAAGATTTATGAAGAGTTATTCAATAAACCATTTACTTAAACACATATTGAATTAATTAAATAAAGATGCACTCCTTAATCTTAAATCTGTATTGGTGGAGTAAGTGTTAATGATCCTGATTAATTTATATTATGTGCAACTGATTATGCATATGAATTTTACACAGAAACATAAGATTTAAAATTTGCGAGGAAGAGTCGTAATGGAGAAATATATTGGTATTATGTAAGAAATCGTTGCATTGGCTTTAGTCCTATGAGTAAAGTGGATTTAAAATATCCTGATGTAGATAATGAGGAAGGAGATTTGAGATTTTCTTTGTGGCTCTTTCATGGATAAGGTGGTTATAGAATTGGAAGATTAGAAAGTTTAGAATAAAGTGTTGAATATAAATGTGTGATTTATTTAAAGAAATGATATTATATTAGAATATCAATTAAGAATTTTTGTATGTTTTAGTTTAGCAATTGATATATTTATTAATTTTTGTTTAGATAAGTTTTTCTCTATTAAGATTGACTTAAATAAACAGTTAATATTTTAATTTTTGAATTTATTTTACAAAAATGCTAAGTATCATTATTTGTATATTAAAGCACAAAATTTCTATGATTTAAGAGGAGGTGATAAGATGAGCACCAATAATAGATAATTAGAGAGGTATGAAAAATTGGAAAAAATTGGAGAGGGTAATGCATAATTCAAATGTGTTTAGGAACTTATGGTGTAGTTTATAAGGCTCGTGATTCAGTGACTAAAGAATTGGTGGCTCTAAAGAAAATCAAATTAGAAAATGAAGATGAGGGAGTTCCCTCCACTGCTATGAGAGAGATATCAATTTTGAAAGAACTTTAACCTCATCCAAATATTGTGGGTTTAAAAGAAGTCATTTATTAGCCAAATGAGAAGAAGCTCTACTTAGTTTTTGAATATGTCGAGATGGATTTTAAAAAATTCCTTGATTAAAATAAACACAATCTTACAATTAGTTAAATCAAAGTAAATATTTGAATTCTAATAAATAGCATTTCACATTCTAAATCTTGAATGGACTTAATTATTGTCATTCCAGAAGAATCATTCATAGAGATCTTAAACCATAAAACATTTTAATTGATAAATCAACTGGGATTATTAAATTGGCGGACTTTGGTTTAGCTAGAGCATTTGGTGTTCCAATCAAAACTCTTACCCATGAAGTAGAAACTCTATGGTACAGAGCTCCTGAGATCTTATTATCATAAAAATAGTATTCATTAGGTGTTGACATGTGGTCTGTGGGATGTATACTTACAGAAATGGTTGAAAAGCATGGACTATTTTGTGGTGATAGTGAAATTGATTAAATCTTTAAGATATTCTAATATCATGGTACACCAACTGTTTAAGATTGGCCAAATATAGCAGATTTACCAGATTTTAAACCTACTTTTCCTCGTTTTAGACCAACACCACCTGAATAATTTTTTAAGAACTTTGATAAAGTAATTTTATTATCATAATGAATAGGTTGGTTTAGATTTAGTTACCAAAATGATTGCTTTGGATCCAGCAAAAAGAATCTATGTTAAGGAAGCAATGAAACATCCTTTCTTTGATGACCTAAATAAGGAAGATCTAGTCAAATATTTTCCCCCAGGATAACAAAACTTGGCTATGCAATATGGAAAATGAATTAATTAAATAATATTAATATGGGATATAAGATTTTAAATTATAAAATATCATCAATGTAATTAAAATATCTTTAACTCATTTGAAAATTATAAATTGATTTGATAGATTAATAGATGAATGAATTCAAGTGATAATGAATAGAGATTGGATATAAAATGTGTATTATTCTGATTTAGAATATATATATATATCATTTAAAAATAGAAGGTTAAGAATAGTAAAAGTTCCTTTGTTTAATCTACAAAATGTTTAGATATTTATAATAACAATAATATTAAAAATTATTTATTAAATTAAATAAGAGAGTGAATAAATCTCTCTTATTTATGTTGATAATGATGGTAATTATCATAATGAACAACTCAATAAAATTAGTTTAAAAGATTTATAATTAAATTAAATAAGATTCCCTGAATAATTAAGGAAAATTATTTAAAAATAAAATTATCATGTTTTTTAGAGATAAGCAATGACAATTGATATGTCATCTACAACTTCATCTTCCTAATGCCATCTTTAAGTAGAAAGTTTGACTATATGATCGCATATCTCATTTAATTTTTTAGCTGTCATATTAGGTTGCCAATATTAAACAACTATCTTTTAGATTTCTTCATTAGAAAAGAATTCCCATACTCCATCACTTGCTACTACTAAGAATGCAAAATTTGTATTCATTCTATAATGAATTATTTCAGGTTCACAACTCACTCCAACAGTTGATGCTACATAATCTCCAAAAGATCTACTCATGGCCAATCCTGGAATTTGATCATTTAACAACCAAACTCTTGGTGGACCAATCATTTCTCCATTTTCACTAATAAATGGTTCCACTCTTCCTTTAGATGAGATTATTCTTTTGTATTCATTAGGTAAATCTGGTTTATGATCATTACTTAATTCAATTGTTTTCCATTTTTAATTATTCTATTACTAAATTAAAATCTATTTTATAATTTAAATCAAAATTTACTGATCTTGAATCTCCTATATTTGCACACCATAAATGAGGTCCAGAAATCAAAACCAAAGAACATGTTGTTCCACTAAATGTAATATCTATACCACAATTTGATAAATCTTTTTGCATTTTCAAAAAGCTTTAAGTCATTGCTTTAGTAATACTATTATAATGATTTTCACCAATATCTTTTTCTTACATACCAATATTTGATTTAATTTATTAATCTATGATATTTGGTAACAATTTCTTAACTAATTATGAAACATAATGTCCATAAACACCATGACCATCACAAACAGAAAAAATGTATCTATTTTTAATTCCACCCAAATTATTAGTAACAATTATACTATCTTAATTAGTTTTAGTTTATCCTTATCCATTTTATCCAGCTTGGGATCTTATAAATTATATAATAATACTTAGAATAAAATAAATTAACATAATCTTGCATTTCATTATCTAGAATAAATGTATTTACTAATGTAGCTTAACTGGTTGATCTACCATGTAACATTACAATTTAGTTAGAAGCTTTAGTTTTAATATCTTGTTCTATTGTTTAAGAACCCAATTTAGCTCTTGATATAGAGGGTCTAGTATCAGGAGTAGATTCAGATATTAATTTGATTATTGATCCTCTAATTTATTACTAAATTAATTAACCAAATTATTTACAGTAGATGTTCCATCTGTAGTTGTATCTTTTCTTTTTGAACTTTTCATCTCTTAGATAGTCTCATCCTTGATTTATATATTGTTATTTAATTGAGTATCTGCTCTTCGAAGATTAGGTAATTTCATTGGAGATTATGACTATTTAAATATTATAAATACTTCTATTTTGGTTGCTCCATTAATTACTCTCTTTATTGGGGATGAACTAGTAGACTATGATGGCCTTTATTATTGGGTCTATGAAAAATCGTATTATTAGCTACAAATTAGAATTTGTCTTCTTGTTTAGGATTTACATTGAGACGTTTCACATTAAATTTGCCCTTAATTGGAGATTGCCCGTTTCTTAAATCAAATTTAATTATTTTACAATATGGGAGACATATTTAAAAGAAATGGTTTTTCAATTAGTTTTGGAGTCTGTTTTTTCTTTAACTATGGTGAACTTGAAGTACTTTGAGTATTTTGTTATTCATTTGATTTCAATGGAAATACTCTGACTGGATTCATTATATAAATTATATATAATTAGTTATGTAATTTTCATTATTTCTTTTGGTACCAAGTTGGGTATAATTTTGGTGCAATTTCAGGTTGAATTTAAAGTTCCTCTATAAATAATATTTACATATTTAATACCCTTAGTAAAATCAAAAAAATCTGGTAAAGTCTAATTAGGAATACCAAATCCTGTTTATCTTATATCATTAAAGAATGGATGCAATAAGGCTTCTAATGGTCTCAATCTTTCTTTAGGAGGATATACCATAAGTTTAGAAATTAAATCAATAAATTAAGCATCTGGTTTGAATTTGGCAAATACCTAAAGTATTATAAATAATCATCAGTTACCTTTTACCAAGGATGACATTTAATGAGTGGAAACTTAAAATCTTTATGTTAAGGATTCATCATTTTGACCTGTTCTTGTGTTGGTGTTCCCAAAATTTTAATAATTTCAACTAACTGATCTGTTGCACTTTCTCCTGGAAAGAGAGGCTCTCCAATAAGCATCTCTGCAATTACACAACCAATAGACCAAACATCAATAGCTGTACTGTATTCAGTAGCACCATATATTAACTCAGGGGCTCTATAATAACGAGAGCAAATGTAAGCTACATTTGGTTCACCTTTTTAAAGTTTCTTAGCAGATCCAAAATCGCATATTTTAAGTACATGAGTTGCTGGATCTACTAATATATTTTATGGTTTAATATCCCTATGACAAATACCAATTCCTAATTTTTAAACTTGTAATGTTACCTTCCATATAAGCTAGAGCTCTGAACATCTAATATCCATAAACTTTTAATAAGACATTGGGAAATTGCTATTTAGCTTTTCTGTATTATCTAACTACTTTGCTTAATGTATCAGGTATATAATCCATAACCAGATTCAAATAAACATCATCACCCTAATAATCAAATGCATATATACTTTATCTCCTTAAGTGAAAAAGGCTTCTTTCAACTTAATTACACATGGATGATTGAGTTCTTAAATGATCAAATGCTCCCTATTTTTATATCTCTTATCCTAAAACACTTTCTTAATGGCTACTTTTTCTCCTGTAATAGTATTGGTGGCCTATATAATGATAAATGTATGATACTAAATAAACCATTCCAAAAGTGCCATTTCCAACAATTTGATTTAGAGTATACTTTTGGGCTTATTCAGATCTCTACATTATGAATAGTAAGACTAACCTATTGTTACTAATTTTCATCATTAGCCAATGTTGGAACTCTTGTACTTGGTTTTGTTGGCTGTTATTATTAAGGTTTCTTTAACATAATTATTTATATTATCACAAATTCAAATACTAAGAAACTAAAAAATTACAAACTTGAATCTCTTGTGTATTTGTTTAGAACATAATAATTATTATTATTTTATAATTGTACTTCTAATGTCAAATAATCCAGTTAGTGATGTGGAAATTCAGAAGCAAGCACAGCAACAATAAAATAATATACTTGCCATCTTGAAATCTGGTAACGCAACTGTTGTAAATGAAAAATTATAGAGATGTCGAGATTTCAAAGATGGCAAAGACATTACAGTCCCTTTTTGTTATAAAGGTATTAATACTTCTAAATTATTACTAGAAAACTCTCCCAAAGAAGAATTAGTATTAGAGCATGTACAATAATTTTAAAAACAGTTTCAATTACATTATGATGAAAGAAGGAATCTCTTTCTCTATCCAAAAAATGAATGCGATCTCTACAAATTTATTTGTACAACTATACGTCCATAAAAAATTGGATATTTAGAACTCTATAATTATGAATAGTGTGCACGATATATGAGTTTTTTCATTGCATATGAATAATTAGATCCTCCTGATCAATTCCCTAAAGTTATTCCAAGTCCAACTAATGTTGCAAGATGGTAGAAAGGTGATTGTTTTGATTTATCTATACTATTGTGTAGCGTTTTAATAGGAGTTGGTTATGATGCTTATTGTGTATATGGAACAGCTCCTAGATCAATAACAAGTAAAAATGAAGCAGATCTTGATTACATCTTCATCAATAATGGAATTAAAGAGGATGATCAAGATGGGGATAAAGATAATGATGAATTAAAAGATAATGAATTTGCTATTCTTCCAAAAGAAGAGATTGTGTCAAAATATGATACAAAAATATAAAAACAAAAAGAAGAATTTGAAAAAGAATAAAAGAGAATTGCACTTACTATTGATGATGATGAACCTGATTAAATGGGATAAGATTAATATGCTGGTAAAAGAATTCATTGTTGGATACTCTTAAAAGCAGGTAAAAGAGGAGTTGAAAGAAATATATTTATTGAACCTTCTACAGGTAGGATTTATTAAATTAATGAAAGTCCATTTTTAACTGTTGATGCAGTTTTCAACAATAAAAACTTTTGGATTAATATGAAATTGGAATCTAAAGTAGCAGATTTAAATTTTGATGAAATGGATACATCTATGAATTGGGAATATGTCATGTTAGATACTATGGTTGAATAGAGTTAGTAGGATGATGAGGATTACAATTATGGTGAAGAACATAATCAATAATAAAAACAAGTCGATCCTTAATAATAATAATTATAAGATATTGCATAAATCTTAGATATGCCACCTCCTTGGCCTCCAAAGATTTTTATAGATAAAGATTCTTTTCTTAAGGGAACACCTTTAGGAGAGTCTACAGTCTTTTATAAGAAATGCAAAATAGACTCATACGCTCCATATTCTTAGGAAAAAGATGGATTAGTTTAAAGATTCACTATTTATCAGGATTATAAAAGATTGAAAATTCATGAAATTAGATACTTTTATAAACACAGATCTGACAAATTAGTATTGAAAAGAAGATTTCCATATGAATTTAAGACTATTGAAGAGTATGAACCTGGAAATAAACCTTAAAGAAAGACTATTACTACTATAGACAGATAATTGAGAATCATTTTATATTATCCAACTAGGAATCATGATGGTTTGATAAAAAGAATTGAAAAAATTGGAGAAAAAACAATAGAAGAATATGAAAATAGGGATGATAGAGTTATATATAGATCTGTTAGATTTGATGCAAAAGATAAGAAATTTGAATAAAGAGATTTAATTCATAATGATAGATATATGGGATAAGTCAAAATTACTAAAATGACTTAAAAATATGAATTAAGTGAATTATATCCTGCAAGTGAATAACCATAAAAAGTTGTTATTGATTTAGTAAAAAATGTAATTAGGTAAAAATAAAATTTTTGATTTTAGAGTCTATTATCATATGAATAAAGGAGAAATCAATCCATAAGTTAAAGAATTAAAAAGGGAAAATATGCATGGATTAGGAAAATTAAATGAAACTGGAGTAGAAAAAAAAAATGAGGATGCTTTGGTTTCTTAAGAGAATCAACGGATAGCAAATTTAGGTATATATGATGTAATTTTTAGAAAAGGAATGCTTAACACATATTAAAAATCAAGAAGACGAAGTAAAAAAAGATGAAGAATAATTAAGATCTTAAGATCTAAGACTTGAAAAAACACTTCATGACAAAGCGAGAGAAAGATATAAAGAAACATTAAAGAAATCTGAAGAAGAAAAATAAAGGGAATAAGCTGACAAAGATTATTTATATCCATATTTGGAAAAGAGAAGGTTATTAGGAAAGGAAGTACTTTCTTATAATGAGGCTTTGGATATATAAAAAGATGTTATGACTAAATTGAAAGAACGGTTTTATTTTCATTTAACTTTTTAGTTTACTATCTAGAGCAGCTATCATCTAAAAAAAATTAGAAGAAGAAAGAGCTAAACTAGATCAAGCTGAATAAATGTAGTAGAAAAAGGCAGATCCAGATGATAATGAATATATCAATATACAATTTAGAATTGATATTTTGGAGTAAAGGGCTATTAGATTTGAATCCTAAGCGTTACTTAAATATGAGGAAATGGATAGAAAACTTAAAGAAGATAAAAGACTATCAGAACTTAAAAAGAAATGAAGTTATTTTTATTAAGGAAAATATCATGTTATTAAATATAATTAATTAAATATAATATATTTCAACAATTTTCAAATAAATTATTATCAAAGTCTATACTCTATTTCTTATCATTTTTCTTAATTTGTTTTTAATTTTATACAACCTTGACTTTTACTTATTATTGATCATCAGAATTTTCATCTGAATCATAACCTGTTTTTATAACTTTATTTACTTTTTTTGTTTATTAATTCTATTTTTATTAAGCAGCTTGTTATTATTATTATTTCTGATTTTGCTATTATTATTATTATTGTTGTTAATGTTATTATTATTATTTATTTTATTTATTTTGTTTCTATTTATCATTTTCATTTTACTTTTGTTACTAATTATTTTATATTTATTTATCCTATTTAACTTTATCTACAATCTATTATTAAGTATTATTAATTTGATCATCATTCTATTAAACAAGTTTAGGATGCTTTTTTAGTCCAAAATTATTTTCTTCTTCTAAATCTTATTTTTATTAGTGTAATTATTTTGTTTATTGATTTTCTTAGGGTTTCTAATTTATTTAAGATTATGCTTAATGTTATTATTTTTTTGATCCTTCTTTCTATTATTATCCAATTTAGATTTCAGGGTTCTATAGATTTTCTTTTTCTTTTTGTTCTTTGCTTTTATCTCTGGTTTGATTATTTTGATTGTTTGCTTCTTTTGTTTCTTTTTTGCCTTGTGCCTCAGTTTATTCTTAATTTTCTTTTAAATTTGATGATTCATGTTATTGAACTTCTTCTTAAATTTAATTTTTCTATTCATTATTTGTCTAATTCTCTTTAGTTTTTGTTTCTTTATTTTCTTTTGTGTTTTCATTCTATAATTATAATTATTCTTGTGTATTTTAATTTTGTTGCTTAGATTTTTCTTCTTCTATTCTATTCTTATTTTATTATTTTTATTATTTTTTTGTTAGTTATTATTACTATTATTATTATTATTATTATTATTATTA